TTTCCCTTTTAACTTCCTAGGGGATATTGAAGCAGCCCATAGTAATCTACGTTACTGTCTTGAAAGGAATCCTTCTTATGCAGATGCACACTTACTGATGGCCCAAGTGTATTTGGCTCAAAACAATACTAAGCTATGTTCTCAATCCTTAGAACTTTGTCTGAGCTACAATTTTGAGGTGAGTTGGACAAAAGAATGAAACTGTTTTATTCAGTCAGTCATCTGAAGTTGTATGTTTTTCTATGTAATAATTTTTAAACTGAAATTTTATGTCTCTTCCACTATAAATTTAACATCTGAATGTTTATATGAACATGGTGTCTGAATATTTATCAAAGAAATGACCATAAGGACAAAACCAATACCTTATTTGCAACATATTGAAATAGTTTTGAAATACAAAAGAAATAAATGGTAGCTTTTTCTCAAATCCTTATGTAAATATTAAAAACATGTTATATAAACAGAATTTGTAATTCCAGACTAACCTTGCAACAGTCTTTAAAAGCCAACATAGAAGGACTTGAAGAGTGATCCAATGTTGTCTCTGGACTTTTTGCACGGGTTACTAATGAAGATAATGCACAGGTGCATGAGAGGATCAGAAGGGGTCTATAGTTGCATCTTGACAATTCATGCTGCTTTAAGCACTCTTAAGAGAGTAGCCATACACTATGCTGTCTTCCATTAACGTCACCTCTTTGTCCATCTCGTCTGTCCCTTCAGGAGCAAATTTGGTAAATTAAGCACTATATTAGAAAACTTCCAGTGTTTTGCAGTGGTCCTCACCAGTTTTATTTCTTAGGGCTAATACATTGCAGTATTGATTTACATAAGATAGTAGGAAGAAATTCTTCAGTGTGAGGGTCGTGAGACAGTGGAACAGGTTGCCCAGAGAAGTTGTGAATGCCCCCTGTCTGGAAGTGTTCAAGGCCAGGCTGGATGGGGCTTTGAGCAACCTGGTCTAGTGGAAGGTGTCCCTGCCCATGGCAGGGGGGTTGCAACATGATGATCTCTAAGGTCCCTTCCAACCAAACCATTCTATGATTGCAGTATGGAATTTTTGATTTGTTGACATCAGTGGAACTTCATGCAGGATTAACACTGAGTTGGGAACCCTCTACACGGCACTCCTTAGGTCTGAGTTGTGCGAAGTCTCTTGACTTCAGAGCTTAGCTGAAAAGTAACAAGCTACCATTTCCTTGCAAGTATGTTCCCATCTTGGTTTCTTCCTCCCAAGTTAGAGAAAAAGCTGAAGATTAACTAGGAGACACTGCAGTGCTTGCAACTTTGTACACAGTTACATTTGCCTTACCAACATTTCCTTTTTATGTTAAGTATGTTTTAAGAAGGTGGAGAAATGACAGGCAGGACTTGTGTGAAATAATGATTGTATACTTCTTTTAATTAATTGCCTGATGAAGTGTGCATACAGCAGTGTGAGAGACGCTCGGAATGCCTTAAAATTCAACCTAGTTTCAAATAATGCTGTAATGAATGTTTTTCTGTCCCAAAGTCTCATCTCATGTAGTAGTTTTTCTTTTTTAATTAAAGACTTACATAATTACTAGTTTGCATTCTCTTTGAAAATTCTAATATTTTCATAAGTAAATTACTGAAATTGAAATCTGGTATATTTGGAGGAAAGAAGGAATGAAGGTCAATATTTAAAAATAAAAATAAAAAAACCCTCTTCTTTCAAGGGCTTTGAATATTCTGCATAAAGTAAAATTTAGAAACTCCTTATCTCATGGTATTTTTTTTAGGTGAGGGAACATCCTATTTATCACTTAATTAAAGCCCAAATCCAGAAGAAGATGGGAGAATTGTCAGAAGCTATTAAGACTTTACAGATGGCAAAGAATTTGCCCGGAATGAGAAAACCTACAGCTTCTTCAAAAACTAAAGGAAAAAGAATTGAGATTGATGCAAGTGATCGTGTGTCTGTCTTCCTAGAGTTAGTAGAAGCTCATCGTTTGAATGGAGAAATGGTAAGATGGCAAAACTTGTTAAGATGTAATATATACCTGAAAACAACTTCCTGTTCCCATTGACAGAAGTGTCTATCCTTATTAGTTCAGAATAGAAAACCATCACTTCTTTTACCAAGAGGATTTGCTTAGTAAAATTTCCAAGATGTTAGTATCTGACTTGACAACTTGTCCCTTAAATTGTACGGAGGGAAAAAAAAAATACTTGCAGGTGCTCAATTTTGAGTCTACAAAACTTTTAGTTTTGAGGAGGAGATACTGTTGATGTTCGTTTGCTGGTATGTAGATTCCTGTTTTGCTGTCAGAATGCTATTAGAAATATTTTTGAATCGTGTCCTTATCTTTGTGTAGCAGCATCATTAGTATCAGCTGTATCTTAACAAATAGTAGGATACTGCATATGTGTAAGGATATAAGAGAAGCCATATAATCGTGTAGTTGGAAGCAATCTCTGGAGGTCATTCTGCTCAAAGCAGGACCTGTTAGACCAAGGTGCTAAGGGCATTCCAGTTGAATTTTGAGCATCTCCTTGTATATATGCAACGCAAATGTTATTTTCTTTACTAAAACTTTCTCTGGTAGTTCATATCACATAAATTTTATTTACAAAATCAAGAGGAAAAAAGATAAATTAAATGTTTTAGCCAAACAAATGGATACTATGGTTTGGGGATTTTGTGAGTTTTGGTTGGTTTATGTAATGCCCCCAGACATTCATTTGCTTATGATGTCTTTATTTTTGGCTGTTCAGCAACCGGAAATACATTAATTCTATTGAGTTTATTATTTGCAGCATGAAGCTGCTATAATACTGCAAGACGCCATTAATGAATTTTCTGGAACTTCTGAGGAACTAAGACTTGTAATTGCAAATGCACATCTGGCAATTGCTCAAGGAGATGTTGAACAAGCCTTGACTATGCTCCGAAATATTACACCTGAACAGCCTTACTTTGTACAAGCTAAAGAAAAAATGGCAGATATTTATCTTCAGTACCGGAAAGATAAGAAGTTATATGCTGGCTGCTATAGGTAAAAGTTTGTGGAGTGTGTGTGTGTATATTTTCCTAGATGTTTAATGGTAGCATGGTGAGCTCATTTTTTCTCTTTCTACCACCGTAAATCAGAAATATTTAGTGACATAATTTGTGAATTAATTTGGGTAAGTGTTGTAACATTTAAAACAGTGATTAAAGTCCTATTTTGGAAAGAGATCTCAGATTTTTTTGTTTTATTTTCAGAAATAAAAAAACACTAAAACCTACAGAGGATAAAATTGTTGTGCTGTATTTGTTGTTGTTTAGATTCCAGTATTGAGTTAAATATTGAGCAAGGTTCTGTCTTCTGTTTCCAGAGACCTAGTAGAAAAACTGCCAAGTGCTCATACTTTTCTTCTTCTTGGTGATGCGTACATGAATATTCAAGAGGTAAGTGCTTGCTAGAGTTTAATAGAATGATTGAATCATTTGTTGACTTTGGCAAGTTGAGACAATGTAGCATGCTGACATTTATTGATTGGTAGTTGGCAAACAAACTGCTTTAGTATGTAAAAAAATTTAATTACTAGCTGTGAATGTGACTGTTCTAAGTTCAAAGAAAAAGCTGTTGAAAGTTTTTCTTTTTTTTGCTAATAACTGAGCAGGTAAAAGTCAAGGAGGGAATTTTATCTAGAAGAGCGCTGACCCGTAAGACTAACAAAAATCTAAAGTGAGAAGTAAATTAAATTCAGAAAGCAGTTGGAGATGCTTAGAAGAGTTCTGAAGCTTAGAATAATTCTAGGTAACTTAGTTCTCATATTGAAAGTTTTATTTAAGAATTTTAAATTATTGAATTCCTATACATTTTTTTACATCCTTTACTTGCTTGATGAGCTGGAAATGCTATTCGGTATTTGTAGAAGACGATGTAGCCAAGTGGACATAGGAATCTGAAGGATACACATTTAAATTCATATTTTGAAAGAACAGATGGGTTAGGACATGCAACTAACAGTTAAGATTACCAGTTTGGGGATCTGCAGGTGATTAACGGTTGTTTACATATTAATATTTGTATGTAGTTTTCTCAATAATGAAGAATTATAAAGCAAAAGGGAATTGGTTTAGATCTGCTATAACACGGCTAGGGGAAAGAAATGGTCGTGCAACGCAGTAATAAGGTTGCATAAATTTGTTAACTAGTGAAAAATAGTAGTAGACAAATTTCAATGGAAAAATAATTGGGTTAATTCAAACTCATTTGTTTGCCAGGTTCTCTCCACATTCTATTTTAACATAGAAATGTAGATCTACAGGAGCTTTACACTTCCTGTGATTTCATATTAACCATTTCATAGCCTCCATTCTCTCAGAAGTATTGTAGCTTGTGAAACAGTACTACTTGGCAGTCTTCCTGGAGGTGTTACCAGATTTTGTTTTCTTCATACGCTTTTTATCTTAATCCTTGACTTCTGTGTTTTTATCTTTTACTGTTGAAGCCTGATGAAGCCATAGAAGTCTATGAGCAGGCCTTGAAGAAAAATCCAAAAGATCCAGCTTTAGCAAGTAAAATTGGAAAAGCCCTAATCAAAACACATAACTATTCAAAGGTATTCTATAAGTACTGTATTAGGCTAATTAAGTATTATGTCCATTACTGTCAGCATGTGGGCTTTGTCTGATTTTGTTTTCAGGTTGAGTAGAGGAAGCTTTTCACTTTAAAACGCTAAACAGGCTTTTTCTCCTGAAATTCAGTTTGTAGATCCCCTTCAAAATATCTGGTCACTCAGCTCTGTGGACCTTGCACAGGACAAGGAAGGGAAGAAAGTGTTTTGGGACAGCCTGGGAGGGAAGCAAGCTGGGCTGTAATGCTGGGGAAATGATGTGGTTGTACGCTGAGTGCTTACATACAGGAATCTTGAACTTGGGTCTTTTATGTTTTGTTTACACCTCAATGAGCCTTTTAATACAATGTTCTTAAATAGTCTTCATGTTGCCAAAAAGACTTAAGTGTTTTATGCTTACAGTATTCTTCTGCATGTGTGCTATGAAAGAAGCTGAGAATGTATTATTTCTTTTTTGGAGGAAGCCAACATTTTCCCAGCTTGGAATGTACATTCTGTACAAGTGGCGCTGGCAGGGATTGATAGACAAGTTTAAATTGCAGAGGAATCAGTGCTGACTTCCTAACTTTCAGTATCTGCTCTTTTTCTAGTCACTTGCGTTGAAATAACAAACAGTGGGTACAGAAGTGGGTACAGAAAGTGCCTGAGAGACCAAGTAAGAGAAATGCCTCTGTGCTTTGTTTCAGCAGTGCTTCTTCCATAAATGCTTAGCAGAGTCTTTCTCTGTAGTTATGGAAGTTATTTCAAATAATGGTGTCTCTGTCTCTCTTGGAGAAGTTACGAGGGCTGCGAAGATGATCAGAGGGCTGGAACACCTCCCCTGTGGGGACCAGCTGAGAGAGTTGGGGTTATTTAGCCTAGAGAATAGAAGGCTTTGGGGAGACCTTAGAGCAGCCTTCCAGTACTTAAAAGGGGCCTACGGGAAAGATGAGGAGGGGCTCTTTATCAGGGAGTGTAGTGATAGCATGAGGGGTAACCATTTTAAACTGAAAGAGGGTAGATTTAGATTAGATATTAAGAAGAAATTTTTCAATGTGAGGGTGGTGAGGCACTGGAACAGGTTGCTGAGAGAAGCTGTGGATGCTCCTGCCTGGAAGTGTTCAAGGTCAGGTTGGATGGGGCTTTGAGCAACCTGGTCTAGTGGAAAGTGTCCCTGCCCGTGGCAGGGGGTTTGGAACACAATGGTCTTTAAGGTCGCTTCCAACCCAAACGATTCTATGATTCTATGAAATCTGTTTTCTGCATTGGATCCAGGGCAGGACTGTTAGCTCCCATCATTGCTTCTTGTCAGGCTTAATATTGATTGAAGGTTTCAGTCTGAGTTTGTGTACTACCAGCTTAGATAAATGACACTGCACAGACTCTTTCATACAATGTACTAATATGCCATCATCTTACCTGTTTAAAGTTGCATGTTTATTACCATTGTGCCAGGAGGTTGCCAAAGAAGAAACCTGGTGTTAGCTCCATGGAGTAAACCCAAAGGTTCTGCATCTTCTGGGAATGTCTGTTTAATCTTTTTTTTTTTTTTTAGGGAGATGATTAATGACCAAGCAAGTTACTGAGCGGTGACTGGGGAGTTCTGTTGCACAGAAATCCTACTACACATTTCTTTCTTAACACATTGGATGTGAAATATTCGGTGTGTTGTTCCAGGGGATATACGGTTTTTGTATTTGTGGCATACGAGCTGGTTCTTGCGTATGTGCAGTGTGATTAGTCAACTGCACTTTCGCTGCTTTCAGGCTGAATAGAAGGAAGCCTTTCACTTTAAAGCACTAAACAGTCTTTTTATGCTGAAAGTAAGTTTGCAGATCCCCTTCAAAATATCTCACCAAAGGCACAGTTACTTGTTGGTGGATACAAATGTGGTGAATTGTAGTTCCGGTGATTTGCAGTGTATGTGGTTTTGGGCCTGCACTCAAAACCATGTTTGATTACTTCTCCATTGACTCAGTCTTGTTACGTCTCCTAGGCTTAGCATTGGCCCGGAGAGCAGTAATAGAGGCTTTAACTTCTTATTGTAGGAAAAACAGAAGAAAATGGGGAAAACTTGCAGGAGCAAATTATTTTATTTGGGCAGCCTCAAACTGCTGGAGGGTCTATCCAAATTGTGTTTTGTGTTTGCAGTGTTAGAATTTTCACTTGCTACTGTTTGGGTCAGTATTGCAAATAGCTCAGTATATGATTCCTATCTTGCTCCATGGTTCTTCAAACCTTTTTTTTTGTGTGTGTAATGATCTAATGTATTGTGAGGATTCTTAGAGTTGCTATAGAAAAACTTGTCATCTATATGGTGACGGGTGTTTTACGGACTTTAATATTTTTTTATTCTGAGGCTTCATCTATATTATCCTTAGGATGCTTAAGTCTAACCTGCCTGATATGTGCATTATTATGCGTGTTTAAACATGTTCTATTTTAAAACAATAAAAGGTAATAAAGTATTTCAAATTCATTTTGGAAATGTAACTTTTCAACATAATTACAATTCTCATTTTTCCTTTTTCTTAGAGAAGTAGCATCCTATTTCAAGACTATTTGTTATTTTGAAGTGTTATTTGTTGTTTTTTTTTTTTAAACTGTAGAATAGTAGTTTGATCCAGAACATTGTAAATATTTTACTTTTTTATTTGCTATGATTGTCAGTGTTCATGTTTAAAAATGCAAAGAGAAGACTCCTTTCTATTAGATTATGCTTAGTTGGTATTTTTAAACTTTTCGTTAGTTCTTTTATCTTCATTTTTTACAGGTAGACTTTGGGAAAAGATTTGTTCTCTGTATACAGTAAAACAGAACTTTTTAACTTTATAACTCCAGTCTGACTGGAATTATACAACTTCAGCAGCTAATGAACATGTAGCTTAGTTGGCAGTGATCCTGTCAAAGATAGAATGTGATAACATGGTTACGCTATGTAAATGCATGTTGTATCAAAATGTGGGCTCTAGTTATTCTGTTTATCTTTAATTTGGTATTACATCTTTGGAAGCCTGAACTTGCAACTAAATAACATCTTTTTAATACAGTTTTTATTAGAAATTACTTGGTTACAAGAGAAGTGAACAAAGTATAGAAAACTCTTAAGTAGCTTGTCTTTAAATACCCAGGTAGCAAGGTTGTTGTCTTTAAGATTTGTCTCTAAATAATACTCAGATTTCTGTTTCTTCCTTTTAGGCAATCAGTTACTATGAGGCTGCATTGAGAAGTGGTCAACAGAATTTCCTTTGCTATGATTTGGCGGAGCTTTTAATGAAACTGAAGCAGTATGAAAAGGCAGAAAAAGTACTTCAGCAAGCTTTAGATCATGATCCTGGTAGGAATTTTATTAATGTACAGCAAAACATACAATTTCTACTGTTGTTTCTGTTTTCTGCATGATTCTAAGGAATAAGCAAGTTCCATACAAACTTTTTTTGAACTGTAAAGCACAGGATTAAGTGATAAATGAGAAATGCACTCTAAACTAAACTTCACTTACATTTAAAAGTGCTTTTGCCAGGACTTTTAAACTTGAAACGTCTGTGATAGATGAAGTCAGTAAATACAATAGCAGGGCTCCACTTTCTCCTCTGTGCTAACAAATGTTCTGATTCTGAATTGATCAAGTACAGATGAGTCAAAAAAAGAAGGGTTGTTTAGGTCGTAAATGCTACCCAGTATCCTTCAGAGCAAAGAGATTGAACTGGTTGAAGACATGCCTTGGGACTTTTTTACGTGGTAGGAATATGCACTTGCAAAGCTGAAACTTGGATATTTTTTTTTTCCCCTTGTTTTTGTTAAAAGGCAATTAAAAAGTTTTAGGGTGTTTAGTGTGAGCTACTGAGCTATACCCTTAATTAAGGGAATCTTTTTGCAGTGGTTTAATTGTATTTGTTAACTTTGTGGCTATGTGAATACAGAAACAGTATTATCAAATCTTGTTACTAGTTCCTTCTGTAAGTTTTTCTTGTATCACTGTTTTATTGGTCTTTCAGACTGTGCAGGCAAGTGTTGGTTTTCTGTCTTGTTTACTTCTTACTGAAAAAAATCCTCTGATTTAACATTATATTCCTGTCTTAGTTAAGCCTTTGAGGATCTTCTAGTGTGGAAAGATAAAATAGTAAATAGAATTTGCCCCATGTACTTTAAAATTTTCTCTTCCATCTTACAATGAAGCAAAAAGTACATAAGCCAATATTCTTTTTGTACATCTTTGATACGCTTTTTTCCATGTAGAGAATGTGTGTGTGTATCATTGGCTGATTGGGAAAATTATTGAACAGTTTACTATCTTTTCTTAGAAAAGCTAAAATATCCTTTGTTTGTGAAAGAAAAATGAAATATAGGAAGTGTACTGGAGGGAATGATCTTACATGGTTAACTACATGACCTAATCTCTGATATAGAATAGCATGTCACAATACAGTACTTTGAAGACAGTTTGCTAGTAGAGTATAGCTCAATATACTTTTATTTTTTTAATTTTAATAAATATAAAATGTGGATTGTGGTGGCTTTTATGTTTTAATACGGAACTGTGGAATGGAACATACCAGTTTGTCAATAGATTAAAATGAATACAAGCCAGGGAGAATTTGTATTCTTCAAATACTGTTTTACACATATGTATTTTAACCATTATTCAACAGTAGCTTGCTGTTTTTTGAGTAAACACTGAAATATTTAGTTAAAATAACTGTTTGTATTCACGTCTGTTCCAGACGTAGTTTGGAACCAGAAAGGTAGTTTGAGGTCTGACTAGACATTTCGTCAAACAATCTTACACTTTTTGGGTGTGCAGTAGCACTCATTGAATCAATTTGTACATTTTTCAGGGACTTTGAGGAGAATTTAGATGTGAAATGTCAGGAGTAGCTTTATTTCCTGTACACTTAAATCAAAAGCTTTTCTCTCATATTTCTGAGAATGCAAATAGACTAGACAGACTTTTTTTTTTTATTCCTTTTGTATCTTTCAATGTCTTTGGCCTTAAATCTCACTTTGGTTTTAGGTTGAAATGTTTACTCTGCCTGCTAACAGCACACAGAGTCAAATCACAATCCTAAATACATAAGATCGAGCTGTAAACTTTTCACTGAAGCTCTTGCCTGGAGTATGTGGAGATCTTCATCTTTCTTTGACTTTACCAGGATCAGTTCTTACAAGAATAATGTTTGTTTAATGTAATTCTTACAGTTAATGAATTGTCTTCTCTGATGGAAGATGGACGTTACCAGGTGCTGCTGGCAAAAATTTACAGCAAAATGGAGAAGATTGATGAAGCTGTTATTTCATTACAACAGGTAAAGGGAAAACAAAACAAAAAACTATTAAAGCTTGCAATGTCCTCACTTTTATCCCTAGTTTCACTTTTAACCCAGATTCTAACCATAGGATTTCTGTGAATAAGGAAAATGAATACATGGTAGGGATAAAGCACCAGTGACTGGTGAGAAAGATAAAGAACATAAGTGGTTAGAAAGTCTAAGCTTTTTGTAAGCAGTGTTACCTGAATTTGAATCACATGCAGGCTTTTACTGGAAGCCTGCATTCATATTATGCTGTAATTTGTGTGTGGAGCATAGTTTTAGCAGAGCAAATAAAATTCGCTATGAGGACAACTAGGTTGCATATATTTAGCTCAGCATAGAACACCACTCATAGAACAGTCTGGAACAGCTTTCAGTGGCTACTTGTCACTTTGTTGTACCACTGTTTATTTTAAATAGCAGTAATAAAGTCTGTTCATTCTGGAGTTAAATATTATCACTCAGACTGAGGCTTGAAAGAACAAAGTTGGAAGCTAGAGATAATTTAATCCTTTTAGAAGATGGTTTCTCAACACGAAGGTTGAGCAAGAGATTGGGTCAGTACTTCTCTTCCATCATACGTCCACTCTGTTACAGAAACAGTAAACCTTGGCAGTGTCTTCTGACCAGCAACAAAAGTAAATTATGTAGATTGGTTAGAAAGATAGTTGTACCTAAGAGTTAAAATCCTATTGGTATTGCTATTTAATCTGTTGTTGACTTTTTTCCTCCCCATTCTCCTTTAGTAAATTTCCCCCAAAGAAGTCTACTTCTCTTATTCTTTTCTTCACTTCTTTAGTTCTTTCAGGTTTCTCACTATATCACACTTCAAAAACTTTGTTTGTCTTTCCTCTCCTTTTTTCTTTTGTTGTTGATTTTGTTACTGTCCTCAAAACTGTCCTTCCTTGTACCTGTTCTCTTGATAAAATCTTTTCCTGCTCCTTTTCCTTTTGGTGCCACATTCATTTACACAAAACCTGTATTTTGACTATTTCAGCAGATCTAAATGCTTTGTGATGTTATTGCCTCTTCTTCAACAGGTTTTTTCCCTTAGTTTTCGGAGTAATGTTAGAAGTTCCCCCCAGATTTTGTGCTTTATTTCTCCTTCCTTGCTAGGCAAAGTGGTAGGGGAGTGAGAAGCATGATAATATCAGGGGTTTCTTGTATTCAACTTGTGAACTTTTAAATCAGTGAAGCAGCTCTTCTGAGTTTTTATTTCAATGTTAAGATAGTTACAAAACTGCTTGAGGAGAAAGGAGGAATCTCTTGTGTGTTAATTGGCTTGAATTCCAGTTGAAATCAAAGAAAACTGATCAGGCGTAATCTGAATTGAGCATAGTTATTTCCTTATCTGCCCTCTTTTGAGGCATGTGCTATTAACAAAGAGCTCTACCTCCATGCTTCTGCTAGGCTTTTCTTAATCATTCCCTAAATGAAGGACCTCAGAAAATAAAATTTTGAAGGGTTTTTTTGCTCCTGCCCCACCCAAGTTTTCTGTGCTAAATAAGGGAGTTAAGTACATACATCTTCTTGGTTTTGACCTTTGAGATCTTGTTTATACACCTTATCAAAAGCTTAATTTTTAAGAAAAAAAAGGAAGAAGGCATGTAACACTTCTGTTGAATATTTTTGATGTAGGAAGATAACTTGGACACTAAGGAAGTTCTTAACAGGAACCCATGGAGATGGTGATAAAATTGTTCTAAGCAAAACTGTAGGGCTTGTGTGCAAAAGCATTGCTCTTCTCTTTAATAATGAGGCTTTGTTCAGTCATGTCCTACACCAGCGTTTTTTGTGATTACAACTCTGCTAGTAGTTATAAATTGAAACATGACCATTTGAATTGGGGAAGAGTTTAGTTATAAATAATGCAAGGAACAGAAATATGGGGGAAATTTAGACTAAAAATGTGTCATCTTTATTCAAATTAATGTATTTGACCTAAATATTCCTTAGATGATGTATTAAATAAGCTTGTTCATACTACCCTTTTCATCAAGTACACGGGGGTAAACTGGATCCCTCCCTGGCTTTTTGCTTTAATGTCCTGTTTCTTACGTTTCACAAAATGCTATGTGTATGATTATCTAAAAATTATGTTCTATAAAGTGTAAATTATACATTATTGGATTGGCACGCAGTTGTCATAAGGAGTATTTTAGAAAAAGTGTATTGGGATTCCATCTTGAAAGTGTTGAACAGTAGGTTGCTTTTCAGCCTTTTTTAATGTGAATTTTGGGGAAGCAAGGCAGTTTGAGACAGGTTGCTGAGGGAGAGATATTGGGGGAGTGTTTTGTTTTGCTTGTTTTCACTGATGTTTTTTATAGCGGAGACATTTTTACCCACTTTTTCATTATTTGGGGGTTTTAATCTATAAAATACATAGTATGCTTATAGAACCTTTTAAAAATTTAAAGTAGATAATATAAAATTCATTCCTTTGAAAATTTTTGACTGTTCACTCCTTTCCCCACACTAGGCTCGTGAATTACAAGCTAGAGTGCTTAAACGGGCTCAAATAGAACAGCTGGATGCAGTTCCTGCGCAGAAGCAGTTAGCGGCTGAAATTTGTGCTGAGATTGCAAAACATTCTACAGCCCAGCGAAACTATGAAAAAGCAATTAAATATTACAAAGAAGCTCTTGTTCACTGTGAAACTGATAACAAGGTCAGTTCTCCCTCTGACTATTTTGGAGTGATTTTCCATTCACTTTTGATACCTAGCAATACATTTTTCCAATTATCCACAGTGAGAAGTACATTTACAATTATTTCTGCTTTGACACACATAAAACCTTGATCTTTTTCCCCTTCATTGCTTAGCATGATAAAATAGTTGTATGTACTGCTAATTTCTGTCTCTTGCACAAAGTCCTGATTCAAGTGGTGGTCTGCATGCACTCAGAGTTGTCCATTAGATCGTATAGTGAGCCTGTCTTCATGTACCAGTTGAGGATGTGTAAGGTATGGCATGATAATAATGGAAATTGTTTCAATCTTGCTTGTTGTCTGTCTTCTGGAATGAAGTGCAGTGATTTTGATCAGTCCAGACAACTTCTGTCTTTTCTGTAGATATTTTAGCAGTTTTAGACTTTTATCTGGACTTAGTAGTATTACGATTTTAGTCACAAAATGTTGCTGCTGTTGAGCTGTGATTATTGCACTGCTGCTCTGTTCACTGCACTGTCTCTTTCCCACAAGTCTGCGTGTTGATAAATGCTGGTAAATTTGAGCTTCTTTTTATCCCCCTTCTTCCTCCCTCTTTCATAGCCCTGTGTTTTAGAGATAAGAGAGGGAGAAGCGAAAGGCTAAGGAATTTGTAATAAGCACCAAAGTTAAGTGTCAATTTTAGTAGTTTTTTTAGATTAAAAATAAATAAATATAATTTTCTTCAAATTTCCACAATTTTCTAGCATGTGTTTATATTTAGGTGTATGAACAAGTATTTAGGTGTGTGAACAAGTCTATGGGGCCGGATGGGAT